TGACTTGAAAAACTTAAAATTCCAACTTTTTAAGCTTCAAAATAGCTTAATCTTGGAAATTAACTGATACTTTTTACTAATAACTGAATGGGATATTACACCTTCCAGGCCTTACAAGGGCAGGAAGAGAAAGAATTCTGCAGAAAAGACAAAGGTGCAGGATGCTGCTGTGGTCCAGCGACCGCACCCTCAGGCTGTGGCAAAGAAGCCGAAAGGTAGATGCCACAAGTGCAATAAGTCAGGACACTGGAAAGTCGACCGCCCTCTCTTCAAGAAAGGTAACTCTTTCGTTAATGTCGTAGAAAAATGTCTAGTGGTTGTATCTACCATAACCTCGTGTGTAGATACTGGAGCCAATGATCATGTCTACAATTCATTGCAGGGGTTCCAAGAAACCCGACAGCTTAGGGAGGGAGAGATCACCATCTACATGGGCGATGCTACGAAAGTGGCAGCTGTTGCAGTGAGATATGTTACTTTACCTTTTGATAGTAGTATTTTGGTTTTGAGACATTGCCTTTATGTTCCTAGTTTTAGAAAGAATCTAGTTTCAGTTTCTAAATTTGTGACAGATGGATTTTCATTTACGTTTGATGACATGGTTGTTATTCGTTATGGAAAGCATTTCATTTGTTGTGGTTCATTAGTTGGCAATTTGTATGTTCTCAAACCAAACTCTCCCACACTGCAACAAACTGAATTGAATAATGTCAGGACTAAATCTAATAAGATGAAACAATCTTCGGGTATGAATCAAGCATATCTTTGGCACCTTTGACTTGGGCACATCAACCTTAGGAGGACTCAAAAGTTAGTGGCCAGTGGACTTCTAGGTCCATTGGAAGAGCACTATCAACTTGTGAATCATGCCTAGAAGGTAAGATGGCTAAGAGGCCGTTTACGGCAAAGAGGTATATGAGCCAAGAAGTGCTAGGATTGATTCATTCTAATTTATGTGGTCCTATGTCGATCCAGGCTAGAGGAGGTTTCGAATATTTTGTCTCATTTATAGATGATTATTCGAGATTTGGATACATTTATCTGTTGCACCGCAAGTGCAAATGCTTTGAGAAATTCAAAGAGTATCGGGCAGTTGTGGAAAAGTTACATGGTAAAAGTATCAAGTCACTTCGATCTGATCGAGGTGGCGAATACCTCTTTGGAGAGTTTAGGACATATTTATCAGCAGCTGGGATTGAATCCCAATTGACTGGACCCGGCACGCCCTAGTAGAACTGGGTTGCAGAGCGAAGAAATAGGACTCTTATGGAAATGGTTAGGTCATTGATGAGTTATTCTAGATTACCAGATTCGTTCAGGGGATTGGCACTGGAAACAGCTGTATATATTTTGAACATGGTTCCTTCAAAGTCGGTAGAAACTACTCCTTATGAGATGTGGAAAGGGCGCAAGCCCAATTTCTCACAGTTTCGAATATGGGGTAGTCTTGCACACGTGTTAGTGCAGGAAGCTGGCAAGTTAGAGAAATGTTCGGAAGCACGAGTGTTCGTTGGCTATCCCAAGGGAATGAAAGATGGATTATTTTATAGTCCCGAGGATTCGAAGGTGATCGTTAGCACGAACGCTAGATTCTTGGAAGAAGACTATATTATGAATCACAAGCCTGCTAGTTGACTAGTCTTAGAGGAGTTGAGGGGTGAAGTTGACTGTTCCCCACCGAGTGCACAAGTAGATACATCACATAATACTGCAATACGACACACTGAAAGTGTACCAGTGCAGACAATACCTCGTCGTAGTGAGAGGGTTTCTCAGTTACCCGACCGATGGATAGGTCTTGGAGAGTCTAAGGGCTCAGTTTCAGGAAACCTAGAATCGGACCCAAGGACTTACAATGAGGCACTCCAAGATAAATATGCAGATTCATAGAATGTTTCAATGAATGCTGAAATAAGGTCAATGGACTTCAATCAGGTCTGGGATCTTGAAGAACCACCCGATGGTGTACGACCCATTGGATGTAAACTGACCTACAAGAGAAAGAGAGGATCAGATGGAGAGGTGAAAACCTTCAAAGCTAGGCTTGTTGAGAAAGGTTATACCCAGATTTCGTTTCGTCCAAGCAGGATCTGAAGTATCAGGAGGGTATAGACTATGATGAGACCTTTTTGCCTGTAGTTATGCTTAAGTCCATTCGGATTCTCTTGGCTGTAGCCGCTCATATGGACTATGAAGTCTGGCAGATGGATGTCAAGACGGTTTTTGTTAACGAAAACCTTCAGGAGGACATCTATATGCAACAACCAGAGGGATTCATTGCAAAAGGTCATGAGCATCTAGTGTGTACGCTTAATCGGTCCATTTATGGATTGAAGCAAGCTTTGAGGTCTTGGAACATTCGGTTCGATGAGGTGATCCAGTCGTACGGGTTCACTCAATGTCCGGATGAGCACTGCGTGTACAAGAAAAACAATGCGAGCATGGTGGTGTTTCTTATGCTGTACGTGGATGACATACTTCTTATTGGAAACAGTAAAAAAGAGTTGTTAGACGTAAAGGTGTGGTTGTCTAAGCAGTCTGATATGAAGGACTTAGGAGAAGCGGGACACATTCTTGGTATTAGGGTCATTCGAGACCGTAATAAGAGAATGTTATGCTTATTCCAGTCTTCATACATAGGTACTGTCATGGCAAGGTTCAGCATGCAGGATTCCAAGAAAGATACCTTGCCTTTCAGGAAAGGAATCCATCTCTCTAAGGAGATTTCTCCCAAGACGTCTCAAGAGATTGAGGACATGAAGACAGTTCTTTATGCATCGGCAGTAGGAAGTCTTATGTATGCTATGCTTTGTGCTAGGTCAGATATCAGTTATGCCGTTGGCTTAGTAGCTAGATATCAAAGTATTCCGGGTAGGGAACATTGCTCTGCGGTGAAGCATATACTCAAGTACTTGAGAAAGACTAAGGAGTACATGTTAGTTTACCGTGAAAACAACTTGTTACCTCTTGGTTACAGTGATTCTGATTTCCAGTCAGATAGGGACGAGAGTAAGTCAACCTCTAGTTATGTGTTTACCTTGGGAGGTGGAGCCATTTCATGGAGGAGTGCTAAGCAGAAATGCGTGGCAGACTCCACCATGGAAGCCGAGTACATAGCAGCCTCAGAGGCAGCGAAAGAGGCAATTTGGCTCAGAAACTTCTTAGTGGATTTAGAAGTGATTACGAGTTTGCCACGTGGTATCACCGTGTACTGTGATAACAGTGGAGCAGTAGCAAACTCAAGGGAACCACGAGCCCATATAGCACGCAAACACATAGAGCGCAAGTACCATCTGATTCGAGAAATAGTTGGTAGAGGAGACATTGATGTTGCCAAGATTGCATCTAAGGACAACCTAGTTGGTCCTTTCACGAAGAGTTTGTCAGAGAAGGTCATCGTAAAACACGTGACAGGAATGGGAGTCAAGTGCATGGCGATAGGATCGACATAGGTCTTTTAGAATAACAAATTGATAGAACTATACTTGTAAAAGCGAAAGCTTTAAGTATAAGTGAGAGATTGTTAGTGTTATATACTGAAAGCTTGGTTTTGGATGATATTAAACTTTTACCCTTTATGAATGAGAAACATGTTAGATTAAACAAGTTCTACGTTCTGTTGTTTTGCATTAGATAGTGTGGGTCGTCATCGGGTGAACCAAAGATCATGTTATCAGTTACTCGCGAAATAAGAATAATTGGTTCACAACCCAAATGAACATGAACACCCCATCGTGAATGGTTGTAGTGTCAACCATATAGTTTGTCTTGACTGATTAGTTGCACTAGTACATTTATGTATTGAGCAGGATCCCAGAGAGGAGCAGTTTGTTTTACACTGATCGTCGTAAACGAACTAGGCCTCGGTTAATTACTGCTTACTCTTAACCCGTAAGATATTAAACATGCATATATGTGTAGTACTTATTACTTTGATTCACATGGGTGTGTCTTAGTGAACTGGGCCAATAGACCTGCTGTCTTGGCTAATATTGCTTCATGTAGGATGTGCTGTTAGGATATTTACGGTCACCATGTGCGTTAGTTTGATGATGTCCCAGGAGTAAGTTCATGAAGGATATGCTAAACCCTGCAGGTGGATTAAATTCCAGCATAGTAATAATGTGATGAACGAGCTAGCTTCGGTGAAATAATAATAAATTAATTAATTCTTAATTGTCAGTAATCGAATTAATTAATAGACATTATATCTAAACATGGGGAGATAAATCGAGTAATTATTATTGGAGTCTCAATTGTAAATTGGGCTAGGAAAAGAGAGTGCAATAATATTATGTTGGTGGCCCATTTAATATTATTTAATTAATTAAAATAAGTGGATTGGTCCACAAGTATTTTAATTAATTAAGGAGCCCTAATCCTAATCTCTTAAGGGTCCCTACTGTAGCACTAGATATACATCATTAAGCTCATGGGAAGAGGTGAGAAGTCCCATAATTCACGCCAATAACCGCCGCCCCATATTCTCTCTCTCAGTTCCCATTCGAGCTTTATCTTCTTCTTGTGTTCCACTGGTACAAGATTAAGAGGTGTTTGAGACATACAATAGAAAATCTGTAGGTAAACCGAGATGAAATATATTTTGTTATACAGAACTAACCGGAGGTCCGATCAAGAAGTGCAGCATTCCCAGACGACCGTCTCGACGAGAGCTTTCCACGCCACCGAGATCGCAGCCATCCGACGTCACACGCGCCCTCACGCGCCACTGCAAGCTCCCAGGACTGCAAGCTTGTCTTCATCAGTTTGCACCCGTTCGATCCGGTTTTCGATCTGATCTTGTTCATGCAACCCTAGGACGCAATTTGCAATCAACTTTTCATTGGTGTGCTGTGTACGGCCATCCAGAAGATCAGCCAGATCGCCATAAATTTTAAGCCATAAGTTCTCTACACAAACCTTTAGATCCGCTGCGCATAGGTTTATGTTTTGCTATTCAATTCGTGATTTGTACATAACGAGATCCTCATAGATCCCAACACCTAGTTCGTACGAACCTATTTCGATCGACTCCACCTCTTTCGTTTCTAAGAGTTGATTAAATAAAACAGGTGGTAAATCAACTAGCCCGTTTAGAATTCCTATCATCATGCACGGATTAATCAAATCCAATCAAAACAATTGCAAGTTGAAGTGTCATCCTTCAACAATTCTCAAAACTCAAGAACAATGATCGAAAACCCTAGTAAAAAATTAACTCGCACGAATTGAACAATCTTATGCCCAACAATCACAAATGATTCTAAAACATCAATCCCCTATCCCTAAAAATTGAATTTAGCCACTCATAATCGAACCAACACAAGCATTCAGCACAACCTAAGAATTCATAATGAACGATAAAGTTAAAAGGAAATCTTACGATTGATAATTCTCAAGGTTGAATTCGATAAACAAGATTAATCCCAAAAGCACACCATATTCCAAGCTTAAATTCTTGTTCTACGATGAAAAATATGAAGGAACGACGAAAAACGAACGAAGAAGAGAGAGGGTAGGGTTTTTGTGTTTTTCGCGTGAGAGAATAATGATTCCGTTCTCTTTTCCTGATCTTATATTTATAGTAGCGCACGAGTCACGGCATGGCAGGACCTCGCGGGCGCGACAAGTGGCTGCACCGCGGCGCGACAGGGGCAACACGGCGTGAGGGGTTCGGGCAGTATGATGTGGAGCTTCTCGCGGAGCGGCAGGACAGAATGCTGACGGGCTCTGTCGACCTCGTGGCGGTGTCATGGTGCGGCAGGCTCTTTCTTCACAGCGCGGAGCTCTCATTGCGGTGCGGGACTTAGTAGCGGCTCGGCAGGAAGAACCTGGACGTAAGCTTCACGGCGTGGCAGCATCCTCGCGGCGCGGCAGGGAGGACTGATGCGAATGTGGCTAGGCAGCTCAAGAATGCCTCGAGTCACGCCTATCATGCACGAAGGTGGCTAGCACGAGAGACGGGCAAGACGCACGCCCTTGAGCAGGACGTACGCGAGATAGGCCAACAAGCGAGCGAGAGTGATGGCACGCGACTGGCGTGCAAGATGGGCGAGCAGACGATGATTGTCGCGGGTATGCGGATAGCGCGTGAGCAGGAAGCGCAGGCGGTGGAGAGCGATACGCGGGCGGCGAAGAGCGATGCGCGCGCGACAAGCGCTTTGGGTGGTAGCGCGCGGGACACCGCGAGTCCCGAAGATGCGGCAGGTGCCCGAGACGCGCGCGAGGAGGATGCTGGCAGCGCGGGCGCGCGCGATACGCGAGGCGGGCATGCACGTGCGCGGGGAGGCGGTGCGACCCTAATTCTCGAGGACTAAGGCAAGGGCGCGCGGGCGGTGGCTGACCTAGGGGGCGGTTGGGCGGCTAGGGGTTTTCCTTGGAGTGCAATTCAAGTTACAAGATCCCTTAGTTATCTAGTTTCGTTATTGCATTATAATTTCTAGCTTGTTTAGGTTACTTAATATTTTATTGCTTTATTAGAATTCTAGGTAGATTAGGACTATAGATATAATTTGTGCATATATAAAGGCCCTTCCTCTTGTTATTTTTCATCATCAAATTTATCAATAAAAATCCCAAACTTTTATTCAAAAACTTTGTCTTAGATTTCAATTGCAATTTTATTTATTTAGAGGGGTGCGGTTTGTGAACCTCTAGACACCTATCGGTGATTCAAGGTACTGGTTTGTGGCTTATCGGCAGTTGGGACACGCAATCTTCATCATTGGTGCTTTCATTGAGAGGTGTTAGATCATGTGTCTTTTTCCTACCCCATTTCCTTTCTTTTCTTCCCTTTTATTGTTCGTTCGATCCTATAAAAAAAATTAAATTAACAAGACGAGTCCTAGAAGCAAGGAGCGTAAGCAGGAGAAGAAAGCCATGGCCAACAAGGACATGAAGGACAAAATTGACAACCTCGACATGCAAGTCCGAACCATGAGCGAGGGGCTCGATACCACCAAGGCGATGGTATAAGATCTGATAGAAACCATAAACCGGCATTTTGATGAGATGGCGTGCAACATGCTCGCGCGCCAACCACCACCTCAGCACGAGCGCGAGCAGGCTGAGGGACACGAGCAGAGGTTTGCGGACTTCGAGCAGGAGGACGACTTTGATCGGTGGTCCCAGGCGTCCAACTACCACGATCGGCTGAAGCCCGACAAACTGCGACTCACGCTGTCCACCTTCACCAGCACTGATCTCGACGCATGGCTCAACCGAGCCATACAATATTTTGAGCTTAATGAGACCGAGGAAAACGACCGAGTCCGATATGCGGCATACTATTAGGATGGAGAGGCCAACGTATGGTGGCAGTGGCTCACAAGCATCTACCACAGCCGACAACGAGTCATTGGGTGGAACGACTTCGAGTGCGAGTTACTCATGTGTTTCGGTACGTCTGACTACCAAAACTATGAGTAGGCTCTCACGCGTATAAGACAAACGGGCAACCTACGCGAGTATTTGAAAGAGTTCGAGCGTTTAGCCTACCGAGTCCGAGGCTGGCCCGAGACTGCACTGGTTGGAGCGTTCGTAGGCGGGCTGAAGTTTGATCTAGCTGCTGAAGTACGTTTAGAGTGGTTTGAGACGATGCATGCAGCCACGGAGGTAGCCCGACGCTGCGAAGACCACCTAGCTGCCACGCGAAGGGGACAGGCAGACGTCCGCTACCCAAACGCACGATGCGCAGGCCCAAGCAGTACGACCGCGGGCGCGCGATAGATCAACA